GTGAGTGGGGTTTACTGCAATGTAGGATAACAGGCAGCAAATGATCTGCTGTTAACTCAGGTTATGACAACTGGGAGGTTAGCCCTGGATTAGAATAGTCAGGTCTCTATACTAATGTCGAGAAATCTTGTTACATGTATAATCCATCAAAGTAACTGACTGAAAGACTTGTTTATATTGAACCTTTCACTCCCTTTGGATGCATCTAAAGTGCTCCATGGCCAATGAATGGTTTGCAAAATAAAGAAGGAAGAAAATTTATGATCATAAACTCCTGTTATGACCTCAGGCAGCTAAACTATTTTTGAAATGCAGTCATCATTGTAAATTTAGTGGAGCGCACAGCCAAATTTCACACAGCATGCTCCCACAAACAAGAATATGATAATGATAAGATAATAGGTTTTGTGAATAAAATTAAAATACTCTGCATGCTGGAAACCCAAAACCAACACAGAATTGAATAGAATTGAATTGAACTGAATGCGCTTTCTTGTCATCATGTACTCAAATGAGAACAGTGACAAGCTTATAAGTCACCACTTACAGTGCCATCTTAGGTACAAAGGTACCTAGGCACAATCCTCAGTTAAAGAATAGGGAAATGAAGAAGAAAGATTATATTACAGCTATGCACAATATGACTATTGAGGGGAAGTTAAAATGCTGGAGAAACTCAGCAGCTCTGACATCATAGAATCCCTACAGTGTGGAAGCAGGCCACTTGGCCCATTGAGTCCACACCAACCCTCCAAAGAGCATCCCACCCAGACCCACCCTACTCTATCCCTCTAACCCTGCATTTCCCATGGCTAATCCACCTAGCCTGCACATCCCTGGACACTACAGGCAATTTAGAATGGCCAACCCACCTAACCTGCACGTCTTTGGACTGTGGAGATGAAAACAGAGTTAACATTTTGAGTCCAATATAACTCTGCCTCAGAACCTCTTGTGTTTTTTGGATGAGAGATTAGACAAGGTGGATAACTGTCCCAATCTTCTTTGGAGCAGTGTCTTTACATTCACCTGAGACAGCAGACAGAGTCTTGTTTTACTGTTTCATCTGAGAGAAAGTATATCCAAGTGTGCCTCCTCCGTACTGAACTACAGTGTCAGCCTACTGTAGTCACTGTATCTTACAGAAGCTTACAGTATCTTACAATTTATTTTATGACTGTGGTAGAAATGATCAAATAATTCACATCTTGGTTGCACTAGTTGAGGAATAAAGGTTACCAAATAGGGAAAATCTGCTTAATCTTCATTTGCTAGTGTCAAGAGGTCTGTTACTGTAGTGATTGGAACCAGGTGGATCTTATTTACTATGAGATCCTTGATTGGGGGTTGTTAACCTGGGCCATTCAGGGAGCCCTGGCTGACAGATATAAACAGGGGATTCAGAGAGCCTCCTGACTTCGAAGAAAATAAAACAAGGGATTCAGAGAGTCTCCTCCCTTCAGGGATTGACTTCAAGCTGGCTGGTCACAGCCAGTATGCTGTGCACGAGTAAATAAAGGCTGACTTGGTGATGGGATACCGGCCTCTGTGCAATTATTTCTGTGCATTTCTAGAACATGATGACAGGCCTTGGCTTAATGCCTCATCTTGTATGACAGTTACATCTCCTTACATTTCAATAATTAGTAGGTCCTGTGACACAGTGGGAATGATTGCTGCCTTTCAGCTAGAGACTCTGGTTTCAAGACCCTCCCAAATTCCTGGTCAGTTATGTGATGGAGAGAACATTGGAGCCTCTGCCATCACTATCCTTAGCCCCAGGATGACATGCAAACATTCATGTTGCCACAACAACTCCTACACTGAGTGTACTGTAACACGCCACCATGACATTTCCATCTCTATTGAAAGATACCTTAAACAATAAACCACCACTGAGGTGATGTATAATCCTCTACACTTACTTAAAATCCGCAAATATGAAAGCTACTGCCAATTTCACAAGTTAGCACTGTTTTTAGTCTACACTGTGACATTCTTTCAATTGATACAGGCCAGAGTTTAAATTACAAGCTTCAATGTGGAAGGAAATTATCCATTACGGGGAATGTATGGCATAGGCATCATATTCTGAGAAAAACGTGTGCAGCAGCTCAATGTAAATCACATTGAAACAGGGAAATAAATTGTGAAAAAGAACAGAATCACACAATCAGCCGCAAAATCTGTTTCTTCCTTCAACAAACCATCTACGATCTTGTGGTTGAAGGAGACAGATGCCAGTAAACCACAGGTAAAACCTCCAAGACAATGTATCATTATGAAATATATTCCATTATCTGACAAAATTTCACATCCAAGTATGTCACAGGCCATCATTCAACCCTGACAAAATCCAATACATAAATAAGAATCCCATGGTGCCAGCAGCACTGAAACCATCATGAACTGCAGAATTTTGATTCTTTCAGACAGACGTAGCAATAATTGCACTGAGGAGGCAATGGATGGAAACTGAAGTAAAGCAGAACGTTTGTCAGATAACATCAGTAATTCACATGTTTTCCAACAAATTATTTGATCAAATTCAACAATGTTTGACTTTAAGAGTTGAAATGGACAGGCATCCAAGTTATTTTAGGGATGAAGATTATGATTAAAAAATGTGCTCATAATTTGAAATCCATTCCATCAGTTTTTTTTTATAAGGGTCAAAGCCAAGATTTTCCAGTAACTTTTAAATGCCAAAGCAAGTTAGTTAAATTCCTTTCCTTTTTCCACAGAGAGTGCAATCTGTGCTCATTAAATTCAGCAGACACTCAAACAGCTTAGTTTTGAAAAAAAAGACATATTTTTCCATGATTTCTTTAGAAAGAAACTATTTTCCGTCTGAGTAAATATGATCTATTTTGTCACATTAAGCAATACTCTATCCAGAACCCGATTCCCATTATCATGTATTGGCCAATTTGCTTCGTATCTCTTAGGTGTGATAGTACTTAAAAGTTGCTAAGGCATTAAAGCAGGGTAAGATGCATCAAAGGATATTGAAGGAAGTGAAAGTGGAAATTGTAGAGGCACTGGCAATTATCATTCAATCTTCCCTAGATTTGGGAAAGGCAGGAGGTTTGCGCCAATTTTAAGCAGTGCAGACGCAATGGGCCAAACGGCACCCTTCTGCACTGAAACAGTTCCGTGATTCTGAAAATATCACAGGATTTTCCATACATACAGTCTTATCCCAGAACACAGGCCTTCTCTCTGGAAGCTTCTCTATGTTAGTTTGATGTTTAGCTCCACCTACATGCTAAAGCGATCAAGCACAATTACGGAGAACAGTGGATAGTCCAACACACAAACAGAGATCAGTCAAACCATTGGACACTACGTTCATAATTAGAATGAGAATATTAATTTTTTGCATAATTTTGACTGCTTCACATTTTAGTATCTTTATTACATTCTGTGTTTTCTCAGTAGCCCTTGGCCTATTGCAGGAGAGCAATCAGAAATCCTTTCCTCTGTACTTCTCTTCTATACTCCACACTGTCAATCTATATCTATAAATGTTATCCTACTGATAACATTTGAACATTAAAACTATTATTTATTGTTTGTGCATTGGACAAGGCAAATGTTTGAACTCGGGTGTCTCATCTTAAAATTGTTCCTGTCTTGTTAACATTTCCAGTGAATTCAATTTTTTGCCTTACCATTGACAGAAGCTGTGGTGGATGGACATGTTAACCTGTACAGCAATTCAAATGAGCAATGTTGTCAAGGAGACACCAGCCCTTGTACATCATATTGTCACTTAGATGATGCTCTGCATTAGAAACCTCTGCTGTCTGGTTCTGTCTTCATTCTGTCACTGTTGAACCTCCTCAGAAATTGCATTGTCCAACCCTACCCTGCATTGAGCTGGGCTTCCTTGAAATTTGCTCCTTCCAGAAGAAACAAGTTCATGTTTTTGGAGGCAGCAGCATTGGGTTGAACAGTCAACCATTTAACATACACCCGTAAGATGGGTATTCAGAGTTTGTCTTGCTGTCTTGAGTGCTTCCAGACAATATACGCAGAGAACTGTTAGTCCACTTACTGGCCCAGTCCAGGCTAGTCCAAAGTGAGACTTAGAGAATAGGCTCATTCTAAAAACCATTGCGAGCCCAACAACATGTCCCCGTTACAGATCTCAATAGGTGTGAAGGTACATGATTATAGACTTAACATCTGTAATACACAAAGAAGCTCTATGGGGGGAGAAAATGCTTCACACTGGCAAGTCTACAGACCAAGAACCACATTAGACTGGCATCTCTCTGTAGTTTACATGTGGTCTACCAGTTGGAGCAATTTTATATTGCTGATAACATGAAGAGGTCTGTTTATCCTTCTTAAAAATATGATCATTACCACGTGATGCCAGCAGTCTCCCACACAAACTAACTCTGCCAGAACAGGGAAAAGTGAACTCCTCCACTTCAATAACTGTCACCCATAGCGTTTGCTTTTCTTGTAATTCTGGAACTAGATTTTTATTTAAATGCCGCAAATGTTGTTATTCTAAAGGGGACATTTTTTTATTCCCTTCAGAAACTAAAAAGAATACAGTATATTTATTTTGTTACTTCTATTGGATTTTAACTATAATCATTTGTGATGATTTTTCTCTGCACCTCGGAACATAGTTATTGTATACAGAGTGTCTGGTTAAAATTACCATGTTTAATCCATGTGTTTGACATCTTGGTGAATGTTTAGCAAAATCAAAGCATTTTTAAGCTTTAGTTCATGAAATTATCTCATCCAGAATAAAATTCCAAACAACATTATTATTAACAAACTGTAAATAGCCTGGACCCGGAGGTAAAGTAGTCATTATTTCTAAGTTACTCAACAATTCCCTTGTGAACCTCTTATTCCCGTATAAGCTACAGAAGTGCGTTGGCATGCGAACAGTATATTGCATCAGTTACTTTCCCAAACAATCCAATCTTTTTACTGAATACTATATGGTTGTAAAACAAAAATGCACTTACTTATAATTGTCCTCTTCAACAAATTTTTGTAGCTCTTCGATATACCGGACAGACTTCAGATACTTCTGCACATGGGGCAATGTTACCAAATAGTCTGTGAAGAAAATAGGCATTACAATTAGTTAAATCACTCCAGTGAGAAATCCAGTTTTTAAATGCCATTCTCAAGAACCAGCCTGTCTTTAGAAAACTTGGTAAGAACCCAAGTGCAGAACATCACTAACTCATTCTTTTGCAGTACTTCAAAAGTGAGATTTTTTAAACCTGCTCTTTATTTAAAATTTTTTTTGCTTTTCTCTTCTTCCTTCCAAAGTGGACAACTGTATTTTCCCACGTTATACTCCATCTGCCAATTCTCTCAAGTCAAGTCCACTCACTTAACCCATCAAAGCCTCTTTGCAGAGTCCACATATATTCCTCACATTCACCTTTCTACTTGATTTTGTACTGTCAGCAAATTTGGCTCCAACACCAAGTAGCAGAAACATATCACGGCTTCACAACCTAAGTTTGGTCTTCCATCTAAAAGACACTGCAAGGTGTGAGCATAACAGGAGCAGAGCATAAGCAAAGAAATGTTGAATGAAATTAAAAGAATTGCTTAATATAAATATCAAGTTCAACGATGTTTTATATTCTTAATCAGCTGTGTATTTGTGCAAATATTGAAGGAATTGCAGCAGTTGAAGCATTGCTGGACAAGTCATTGCAGATAATTTACGATGGGTTGTAGTACTCTTTGGGAGGTCTTGTGGCAGAATAGGTGGTGATGTTGATTCTGAACCAGAAGCTGAGTTCGATTCCCAGCTTAGGAATGATGAGCAAGGAATGAACCTTGTTATAAAGTGGAGATTGAGACCTTCAGAAAACTAAAACCGAAACACCCACCTCGCCCTATAATCTGTAAAAGGAGTGTGAAAAGTGGTGCAACCTGCCTTTCAGCAACTTCTAGTGGTTAAATAAAACAAATCCCTGACACTCACTTTACAAATCAATAAGTAACAATTTATTTATCTAACTCTAACAGCAAACAAATTAACTAAATTATTAACAAACTGAATAATCCAGGCCACAGTTCAGGATTTTTTTCATTTTTGTAGTTATTGATGTATTTGTTTGTGATGATGCAGTCATTGTTTGGAAGCACTGATAAATTGGTTAGAGCTCCAAGGCTGTCTCTATCTAGCTTATTGATGGTCATTTCCTATTCTCCTGATTTCTGTACTCTTCACTAACTTCTCCAGGCAAACCTAGGCAGCCCTTCCAAGCCCACAACCTTGGTAGATAAGAGTAACAGGCAATTGATGACCCTCGAAGACACACACCATCCTGCTTTCTTTACTGGGTCACAGTGCTGGCACTCTTCCCATAACATCCCTGCTGTGGTTCAAGAGGAAGTTAAACACCACCTCCTCAAGGGCAGTAAATGCTAGCCCAGCAAGAAACGCCCACACCCACAAACAAATTTATTTTTTAAAATTCCACTTTTTTCTCGTTTGGAATCTGCGGGAGGTGTTTTATCACTTGACTGATAAAGAGGCCACACAAGGCCCCCTCTGTAAGGCTACACTAATATATTTTTCGCAATTTCTTTACAAGTAATATCCTATAATTGAGGCAGTCTATCTAAGGAAGCACAGAGGAATTCTACAAGAATTCAACAAAAATATTATCCAATTTCTGGAGCGCTTTCAAAATCGGCTGCAGCAAGTTCTTTCAAGCTGTAAACGTAACAAACAGTTTAGGTTCAGATTGAACAACTGTCCAACTCGAACCTCTTTAGTTTTATTCAGATTCCTACTCATGGGTCAACGCAGCTTTCGGGAATGAGCAAAAGTGATTTGTATCACAGCTTGATTTTTAATTTCTCTAACCGCCTGGCAAAACAGGTTGCAGTCCTCAAAGTTAGTGAGGTGTGGAATATTGTTTAAGACTTATTGTCTTTGAACTGATACTACTGGCAAACTTTGTATAAACAAGGCTTTAAATCTTGGAATTGTTTTTGTTCAGAGCTTGGACAGCAAAATCTTTAAATCATCCAATTTGTGCCAGATAGAGACAATCTTGGAACTCTAATCAATTTATCAGTGTTTCCAAAACAATGACTACATCATTACAATCAAATACATCACCATTGACAAAAATGAAAAAAATCCTGAATTGTGGCCTGGATATGGTGGTCAGTAGCAAAGTGCTGGTGCTTGCTAATGACCTTGAAGAAAGCTGCCTGAAAAATCTAACAAATCCTGTAACATGGATTTCTCCTTTCCCAACGTCAACATGAATCTGGTGCTAAGCCAAGGAGATCTGTCTGCATCCAGCAACAGTGATGACATGAAGTTGGGTAAGCGGCCAATCACTTCAATAAATTCTTACAGACAGCAAACCACTGGATAAAATTGGTCCGTCAGATTTTATCATCATCTTACAGCAAACAAAAATCAATGTGACACACGTGGAATTAAAGTAGAAGTCGAAACACCATCATAAATTTTGAAACTTTTTTTTAAAGAGCTGTTGGACTTGTGTTTAATAATAATAGAGAAACTTGAAATTCAATAAATATAAAATTAGATTTCCAGAGCTGCAAGGTTGTTCATCAGAAACAATGCTCAGAATCTCATAAGGGCCTGAATAATGTGGATGATGAAGAGATTTGTGGCAATGTCATGTGAGAAATCCAACAAGGCCCAACTTGACATGAGGAGCAACTAGCTGCATCTTTTATAGATTTGCTGGATTTCTCATTAGACAATGGTGAGCTGCAAATGAAGGATCATCGCTTATTAAATTGTTAAATACCTTATTGACATTGCACCCCATTAGTATTCATCAAACTAGTATCTTACCAAACATGATAGCAAACTAGATGGTGAGAATTCTCACCATGGAGTCAGACTGGTAGTCTGGTGACTTCAACTCAGCCACTATGCGAGAAGAGCCTCTGTGTAGTTCAGTATTGAGGGGCGTGATGCATGGGTACATACTGGTCACAGCACCATGCCCCCACTCCCCCGCCCACCCACTCACCCTGTCCACACACACTGGGATTCCACATTTACCAATCCCTCCTTATCCTCATGGCACCATTACACTTCACTTGCAGCACACTCTGGAAGTACAGGCGACTGGAGCAGGCTGCATTTCTGGGGCTGCTTACTCCCTCTCTTAGCTCTCACTCACTTAGCGCCTACCTGCACGCTCCCTTCTGTGCCTGCCAATGCCATGCCAGTTCCTGCATTGGCATCTCAGATCCAAATTCTCTCAGTATTGCCGTTATGAAGTGCTGCTTAGTGCAGACATGTGAACAGGCTGCTCGTCTCCAGGGATCTGTCTGGTTGGGGTGGCTGGGTGCAGAAGTAGTCAATGCATTCATAGAGCCATAGAGATGTACAGCACAGAAACTGAACCTTTGGTCCAACTCATCGATAATGACCAGATATGCTAAATTAATTGAGTCCCATTTGCCAGCATTTGGCCCATATTCCTCTAAACCCTTCCTATTCGTATACCCATTCAGATGCCTTTTAAATGTTATAATTGTACCAGCCTCCAGCACTTCCTCCGGCAGCTCATGCGCACCACTCTCTGTGTGAAAACATTGCCCCTTAGGTCCCTTTTAAATTTTTCCCCTCTCAGCTTAAACCTATGCCTTCTTGTTTTGAACTCCCGTACCCTTCAGAAAAGACCTTAACTATTCACCTTATCTATACCCCTCATGATTTTATAAACCTCTGTAAGGTCACCCCTCAGCCTCTGATACTCCAGGGAAAATAGCCCCAGACTATTTAACCTCTCCCTTTAGCTCAAACCCTGCAACCATGGCAACATCCCTGTAAATCTTTCAAGTTTAACAATATCTTTCCTGTAGCAGAGAGATCGGAACTGAACACATTACTCCAAAAGTGGCCTAACCACTATCCTGTACAGCTGTAACATGACCTCCCAACTCCTCTACTCAATGCACTGACCAGTGAAGGCAAGTGTACCAAACGCCTCCTTCACTACCTTGTCAACCTGCCACTCTACTTGCAAGGAACTGTGAGCCTGGACTCCAAGGTCTCTTTGTTCAGCAACACTCCCCAAGACCTTACTATTAACTGTATAAATCCTCCCCTGATTTGACTTTCCAAAACATAGTACCTCACATTTATCTAAATTAAACTCCGTCTGCCACTCCTTGGCCCATCAACCCATCTGATCAAGGTCCCATTGTACTCGGAGGTAACCTTCTTCGCTGTCCACTGCAGCACCAATTTTGGCGTCATCTGCAAACTTACTAACCACACCTCCCATATTCAGATCCAAATCATTTATGTAAATGACATTCGATTGGAATCTTCCAAAATTTCCTAGGGTCCAGGAAGATTGCAACAAAGTAACATCATCGTTCCAAAAAGGGGGTGACAGAAAGCTGGAACTTAAGCAACTTAAGCTGCAATCAAGCAGTGTCAACATGGCTTTTCTAAAGGGAAATCATGTTCCATAGAATCATAGAATCCCGACAGCGTGGAAACAGGCCCTTCCACCCAACAAGTCCACACTGACCCTCAGAGCATCCCCCAGACCCATCCCTCTGTAACCCACCCAATCTACACATCCCTGAACACTACGGGCAATTTAGCATGGCCAATCTACCTAGCCTGCACATCTTTGGACTGTGGGAGGAAACCAGAGCACCCGGAGGAAACCCACGCAGTCATGGGGAGAATGTGCAAACTCCACACAGACAGTCGCCCGAGGGTAGAATCGAACCCGGGTCCTTGATGCTGTGAGGCAGCAACTGCTAACCACTGAGCATTTATTAAAATGCATTGTAGATGTAATAAGCAGGATAGATAAAGGGGAGCCTGTAGATGTAGTATACTTTGATTTCCAAAAGGCATTTGATAAGATGCCATGTGCATGGTTACCACACAAGATAAGAGCTCATGTTTTTGGGGAGAAAATTGGTATGGATACTGAATTGGCTAAGAGGAAACTGAATGAGGATAAAAGGGTGATTTTCAGGACGACAAACTGTAATCAGTTGAAGACCAGAGGGATCGTTCTGGGACCTCAACTATTCACAACATATTGATGATGTGGATGACA